CCCACACTGCGCCTGTGCTGAGACCAGTAGGTCCTGCTGGTGCAGGGTAGCCGGAAACTCTCCCACAAACTCACCGGGCCTGGGCTAGGACTGGGTCTGGTGGTTCCCAGAACGCAGCAGAAATTCCTACTCGGCGGGCAGGGTAGGGGAGGTGCTGTGGAGTGGTGTGGGGCATCCCAACGGAGTGTAAGAGGGTCTCACCCACGCTCCACCTGGGCTGGAACCAGGAGGTCCTGCCGGCACCGGGTAGCTGGAAGCTCTCCCACATACTCACTGGTCATGGGTCAGGACTGTGTCTAACAGTGGTTGTTATATTGCATATTTCTGTCTTCAAATTAGTTGTTCAGATTACCAGATATAAGCAGGTGCAATTGATAAAAAGAAAATTAAAGATAAAAGAAATTAAGCATTAACTGTCCCTTTCAATAGGTAAGCAAATATCAGAAATACAATTAATTATTCAAACTATCCTGTGTATATACATATAGATTTTCCCCTTCCCTTTCTTTCTTTTTTTTTTTTTTGTCCTTCCATCATCTCAGTTATTCCTTTGCTTTGTACAGTTTCTTTCCCTTTCACAGTACCTATTATACCTTTCAGATTTTATTTACTCTTTTAGGTTCATACAGCAGGGAGGCAATATGATGTTTACACACGCAGGTCTGATTTATTTCACTTGCCAGTATGGTCTTCAGTTGCATCCATTTACCTGTAAAAATCTTGAGTTTATCTTTTTTTTATAGCTGAGTAATACTCCATTGTATAAAAATACTATATCTTTTTTTATCCATTTTTCAGTTAATTGGCATTTGTGTTATTTCCTAGATTTAGCTGCTACAAATTGAACTGCTATAAACATGGATACACATAAATCACTGTGATATGATGTTTTCTGTTCGTTTGGAAATGTACGCAGCAGGGGAATAGCTGGCTTGAATGGGACCTCTAATCCTAGCTTTTTGAGGAGTCTCTGCACTGATGTCCATAGTGGTTTTTTTTTTTTTTTTTTTTTTTGCCTTTCTGGAACTGGGCATCAAATTCAGGCCCTTGCGCTTGCCAGGGAAGTGCTTATTCTACTGAGCCATCTCCCTGGCCCTCCATAGTGGTTTTACCAGCCTGCACTCCCACCAACAGGGCAGAACTGTTCCTTTCTTCCCATGGCCCCTCCAGCATTTGTTATTGGTGGGCTTCTTGATGATAGCCATTCTTTCTGAGGTAAGATGGAAGCTCAGCATTGTTTTCATTTGCACCTCTGGAATAACTAGTGATGTTGAAAATTTTTTCATAAATGTTTTTGCCATTTGTATCTCTTTGTTTGTTAACTGTATATTCATCTCAGATGCCTAATTTTGGATTGGGTTTTTAAATTTGGGGGGGGGCTGATTTTTAAAAATTCTTTGTATGTTCTAGATGGAGGTACTTTGTCTGAGGGAGAGTCAGCTATGATTTTTCCTAATTTGCAGGTTTTCTTTTTACTCTGTTGGTGATTTCTTTTGACGTCCAGCACCATTTATAAAAGAAGCTATCTTTCTTTCAATGAATGTGTTATGAAACTATAATGACAAGGACAATTTGATATTGGCAAGTGAAAAGGATCAAAGGGACAGAAAGAAAATCCCAGAAATAAAGCCATAATAGGTGGAAATTTGGCATATGACAAGGTACAATGTATACTTATTAGGAATTTATGGACAATCCAAAAGATGCCACTGGGATATATGCCAATCTAATTTGGGAAAACATCCTATATAGCATCCATTCCCAAATCGGTTTGAGGATGCTAATGATGTAAATGTGAAAAAGGAAGAAAATTGGAAGAGAAATTTTTCATCACCTTGGAAGCATGAAAGGCTTCTCGAGCAAGACACTAAAAGTAAGAACGAAAATAAAAAAAATCTGATAAGCTTGACCATATTAATATTAAATTTATTCATCTGTCAAAATCCAAGGTAAAAGTCAGGCTGCAAACATGGAAAAGATGTTTTATAGTTTCTAACAGAGAAATAGTATTGAGAGTATGGGAAAACATCTTGTAAGTCCCTGTGAAATATACGAATAATCTAAGAGGAGAAGAGGCAAGGCGTATTAAGGAGGCAGGGAAGGGACTTTTGCAAAAACGAAGACTCTGGAGAGTGTATTTTGGTAACGCCCAATCTTGTAGCAAATGGGTAAACACAAACTAAAATCACACTAAGATATGCTTCTGACCCAGCAAATTGGCACACTTTAGTAAGTCTGATAATAGCAACAGTCACATGGAGTAAGAGGAACTAGGCACATGGATAGATCGTTTCACTGGTGCTGTCACAGAGAGAAAGGCTGGCCGCAGCTAACAAATCTGAACGTGCAAGCTGTGTGGCTACAGTCATTTCACTCCCAGGTGTGAATTCTGGAGGACTCATACACATTAGGCAAGCATTTATTTAAGTGTGAATTATAACACTGTTTGTGAAAATGAACAATTAGAAATAACAGGGTGGCTTGTCAACAGAATTATTCCAATCTGAAAGGCCATCAGCAGAAGAATGACTAAATCGGGATGTATTCATTCCGTGCCGTAACTTCTGGTGATGAACATGATTGAACTGAATCCATATGCATAATATAGACAGAGCTCAAAAACATGTTGAGCAAAGACATTAAGCAGCAGAAGGATACACAGGGTGGGATGCCATCTACATAAAATGTAGAAACAGGTAAGTGTTACTTTATATGAGGGCCAGCAAGCTTTAACCTATAACCCAAATCCAATTCAATGAATGCTTATTTTATAAGCACAGGTCTTCATAAATACAGTCCTACCCATTTGATTAAATGTGGTCAACAGTGACCTTTGTACTAAGGGGCAGAGAACAGAGGTGATATGGTCCTGAAAGCCTAGAATATTTATCATAGATAAGTTTGTTGGTCCATGGGATATAGGAAAAGTGATGAAAATACATGTGAATATTTAAATTAAAATTATTATAGCAAAAGACACGCTGATCTTAATCCCCTTTAAAATACTACCTCTTGCGCTCTTCAAATGCATGTATCCCATAATCCTTGCCAGTTTCTTTTTTTTTCTTTTATTTATTTATTTATTTA